CAACAGAACTAGTACAGGGCATGGTATGTCTATTGTCTGCAACACTGGTCGACCGAGTTCCACAAACGTGATCTACCCAGCATCATGCAATGATCACTCGTCAATGGGCCACAAATGGTTTGACATCCTCACCACCGACAACGTTGCAGAGCTAGAAAAATGCCTAGCAAATCTGTCAAAAGAGGCAAGAAAACATCTCATAAACACCGCTTTCGTATATGAAGACGACAGAGGAGACAGTTCAAGACAATCCGTTAGTTTGCCAATTTACCGCCTCGAAATGCCTGAATTTTCTCTTCCCTTATTTTTAGCTGTTGTTTATGGATCGGTAGGCTGTTTTAAAGCTCTGCTGAAACACGATGTTGATCTACTTGCTACTGATGATAAAGGGACTAATATTTTGCATGCTTTGGTTTGGGCCAATTTCAATTGGCCTGGATATGGCGTTTTGCACCTAGGTATCTATGGACACATAAACGCCTTGCTATCCCGTAAAACTATGACTGATTTACTCCACCAAGAAGACACATATGGACTGCGCCCACTGGAATTGGCAGCAATGCTTCCTTCACTGACTATGACAACGGCTATAATAGAAACAAAAGGCATTTACAAATTTCCTAAAATCACACGCAGGTTTGACCAGGTATCATGGTACGACATCACGGAATATCACGTGGCGAATTCCGCCAAACCATGGAACCGCTATTTGATCTCTCCAAGAAAGGCCATAGCGGCGTTTGACACTGAAGTTCTTAAAGACCCGAGATTGCGTTCCTTCATGGAATCCCCGGTCATCTCAACCATGGTCAACAACAGCGTGTCCAGCTTGTGGCCGTTTCTACTTTTAATGATCGTGTGGTTCTTAAGTTATGCCACTATGGTTTGGCTTAGTATCATCTACATTTGGTTTGATAAAGTATTCAGGGGTGACAACAATATTGGAACCAATACAACGTTAACGGGTAATGAAACAATTTCATCCTGTGAAGATGACTTGAAGAACGACCTCACTGCAAAAAATATGTGGTTGATAGGGCAATATAGTACCTATATATGTATAACGTATTCTTGCTTAAACATAATTTATGATCTTTGTAATATTTTTGTAACAGGCTTTAAGATTCATTTTCTAAAATACCAGCATGATTCATTAAACATTCAAATTCTTGCACAAAGGCAGAACACCATTGTGAGTGTCCGATATTATACGGTCATTAATTTCTTGGTGAACACTTTTTTAGTTATGACTTTCTTTCTGTCAAAACAAAATCACAAGACAGAAGATATGGAGGCCTTTACGCTTTGGGTGCTTCTTTTAGCAGGTGCTTTAAATTCATGGAACGTATGTTCTGCAGATTATTCCCAAGTGTGGCGAGTACATTCAGATTTTAAGGCATTTGTTTTTCGATTGCCTGAACGTCTCTTTAATTGCTACGGTTTTCTATGTTGCACATGCATTCATGTTTTATACCTATTTTCGTCGTGAGTGCAATAATGACTATAAGGAAGGATTCACTACTTTATACGTAATGTTCAAAATGATGCTGAACATGGAGGACGTCACAAAAGAAGTTGAACCGCCTTATCTGTATGTTATAATGATAAATCACTGTGCTTATGTTGTATTTGTGCCAATCATTACTATCAATTTCCTGATTGCCTTATTTTCTGAAACAGTATCACGGTTTTATCAGAACAAGAACATCATCATGTCGCTGCAGAAACTGTTAATTATGAACGATATTGAAACTGTAATCAGACCGCTGTTGGTGCTGCTGAGATGGAAGAGAGGGATAGTGGAGAGAAATGGGCGACTATATTTACCAGTGTATCACGGTCCTTTTTTGCTTCAGACTGGCAAAGTAGTTGACTAACCTTTATATCTCGACTGTCTTTTCATAAGCGAACAACACTGTATATATACTCGAACAATTACTGCTTTATGTCAAATGTATTTTTGAAATCGTTGCCCATATATTAAGATAGCACCATCCTCTACAGGAGGTCTTCCTTGGCTGTAACAAAATTGTATGAAAGATAATGTAAAATTTCGTAACAACTAAAGGAGACTTTTGAGGGTAAGATAGCACTGACACTTTCCGTTGTACAATGAATATTTATGATAAATTTGTGTATGAATGAATAAATTTGTGTGGAAATTTATGCAATAGTCATTAAATTATTATCCAAACGATAACAGAAAGACTGTTGATGTACTCAAACCCTAGGACTTAAATTGATCATAATAAAGGTTCTTTCAAAAAATCGAAAAGCTAAAGGGTAATGCCACCAGACAGGATTGAACCAGAGACCTGGCTGTGCCCTAAACCTTTTATTTACTTCTTCGACATACACAAAAGCTTATATTTCACTCGTTCAAAATTACATTTGGTAAATCTCCCTGGCCCTGTAGGCCTAGAACAGTCTAGTAGCATTAAGCTTTGGGTGTATGAAGGCAAACATCTTTCGCAACGGCTTTAATACACAGGTAATTTTATGTATTCGATTAATCCACAACGTCCCCTGAGGGGTTTTCGCATCTGGTACATCTGGCCTCTGACAGCAAAGGCTTAATATGCGTAGACCAGGGAACGGACAAGGAAACTTACTGTGCACAGCCCATTACAAGAGCAAACTACAGTTTGCCCTGTAGTACACGCCTTATCAGTAAATACATACTTCCATATAAGGCGTGTGCTAATCGTGAAGAGAGTGACTGGCCAGAGGTTGCCCATCCCAAGCAACAAGGGCCCTTTGATTGGTTCGGGTACGAATGGGTGGGGTTTGATGACGTCTCAAGTATTGGGAGTTGATAAACCACGGCAGTGATTATTGTAAGTGATAACGGTCGTTTCCCTTAGTCTCTAACTATATATGACAAATTGTATCAACCATGGTATTTATTATTTTTTTATTTATAAAATTATTATATTACCATGGTCGTAACTGCTTCTATGCTATAATCAGAATTATGATATTTTTTTCATATACCGAACAGGTCGTCAAACTGTAAATGTTTATCAGTATTTTTGGTAGTAATTATGATTTCCATAAATAAGTATATCATATTTTACTTTAGTTAGATATTTTACTTTACTTAGATATTAAGTTAGTCTAATATCTTTGATAGACCTGAAACAGAAAGAGGTGTTTCTTCTTGTTCCCGGCAAATGACACAGTACCGTATAGCTTGGCGGGGTCATGTTTTTGATTTTGGATACATCGATGACTTTACTGGGGACCTGTGGTGAGGACAAGTGCTCTCTTCGTCGCACAGACCGGGACCCACCAAACAACGAAAAACTGTGACGTTACGTTTTGAAAAGTCGCACATTACCATAAGTGAGGCTAGGAAAGGCGATGCTGGCATTAAGATAATTGAGGTTTTAATTATAGTTAAATTAAAATAAAGAAATTGGTATAACGTTGAAAAACTTAAAAAATAGACAGAAAGGTGATGCATGCCATATCCAATTATGTTTTTTCATTTTTCATTTCACACTGATTTAAAATGAAATTAATTCTCAATATTGATTAGAAAATGAAAACAAAAGAGTAATTCTGCACCGCGCTACGATTTTCATAATTTGAATAACAATTTTTATATTTTCTTTAAAAAGAACGGACCATCAAATTCCAGTTTGAAATAACTTGGATATTCCACGTCATAAAAGAAATTGGACAAGAGAAAACAAACGCTAACCATATTTGGACGAGGCTAGAGGGCCTAACAAGACCTACTTTGCATATTCAAACGACCATACATTGTATGAGTAAGCGCAGAAATGAATAACGAAAGAAACTTCGAGTCATCGCCTATATCAATGAGTTCTTCCGGTCGTACTGAGATGTGCGGGAGGAGGGTATCTTATCTGATGAGATTGTACCTGCTCGGAAACAACATTTGAGAAATGATGAGATATCCAATTACTAGGCCCAGGATAACAGAGTACGGTTCATTATGGAAAGCCCATTGAGACATCCACATTTACGAAAGCTGCACTTTGTCATATATTGAAATATATAACGACTTCATCATTTTCAAATAATAAAACGTGTTATTTACGTTTTTTCCTAACATTTGCTATGTATCTGTTTGAGTATAAAAAATGCAATCTCCTAAGCGAAAAAATTTGTAGATTGAATGTACATGTATAAGTTCGATGCAAATGTAAAGATTCATATGCGAGCTTGCATGTAGAAGCATTTAAAGCCTTTGCAAAAATGAAAATGCGGCTATTGACCACCAACATACCTCAAATAAAACTTATCACTAATATCATCACTGTCAAAATAAGGAGAAAAAGGGGCAGTCGAATGAATAAATACACAGGACACCCAATAGCAATTTTTTTGAGGATGTTCGTATCTCCACAGTCAACTAACATCATGGCATGGAGAGATACATTGCACCGTCCGCAATATTGGATACAACCCCTAATATTTTATCTACACTGTATGATTAATATATAAAAACAGAAATATCACTTCTGTAAAAACCGATAAACCGATCTAAGGACCGCAAACTTCCCGGTAATGAGAAAGCGTGCTTCACACTTACAGGGACACAGACGACTTTACTCACAGCACTGACTTCCTCATAATTTAACCTCGTTTGTCATACCTGTAGTTTGTTCTTGAAAGGAGTGTTTACAAGTGGGAATTTTTTCGATCTAGAAGCACAACTTCTATCTTTGTATATATCAAGGGTGCAAATCAGTTGTATTACATCATACAGAGAGTTGTATTTGCCCAGGCATTCTAGGAACACGTTAGTAGTTTTTAACCAAATAAACAACAGTTTCGCTCCTAGATCGAATTAAGCTTTCCTTAATGTAAACTCGCCTTCTTTAGTTCAAAACGAACTCAGTTAGAACACAAGGCTGCTTGAAAATGGACACTGATGTATATCTAGGAAAAATTAGGGGACATGTCTATCATTAAGTGTGTCATATAACGGATGACGTCGTCCAGACGTGCAGATCACCGTGACCATGTGTGACGAGTTGTCCTGCTCGGGCTTGAGTATATATAAAGGGCCAAGACCCTGGCGATTCAACAAATCTTACTGACAAGTAGACTGCAGAACCAAAGAAGAAACTTAAAGCGAATCTCTTAACCAAAGCTAGACGCAGAAGAGCAACACAATGGTACGTATCAAACAAAGTAGGAGGGAGATTTCTGCGATGGACTTTTCCTCTTGTAGGAAAATCATTCTTCATTTCAACCAAATGTCATTCTTGTTTTCTCAGTTATTATTTTTTTCATCTGTTTTTTTTTTCATTTTTTTTTTTACCGTGAGATTAAACCTATTTTTCTTGTCTCTCTCTTTCAGATTAGCCAACTTATTTTTGCTTTCGCCATCATCGTTCCGTCCACATGTAAGTACCTAAAATGTTGAATGAAAATTGCACATGTAGTACTATCACATAACTTGCTGTCTTATATAGATACATACAAATGTGTTAAATGGACCGCAAATTGCCCGCAAATACATATCATTTTTATTTTTGTAATTCATTGTGTTTGAAAATAGAATTGTCAGTTTTCGGTACTGTCATGAAAACCTGCTATGGTATTAACCGTCATATGCAATTTTCAGATGCATTCAGAATAGCCTGTTGGTACACAAACTGGTCACAGTATAGACCAGGGGCTGGAAAATTCTTCCCAGGGAACATAGATCCTAACTTATGCACACACATCTACTACGCCTTTGCTAACGTGGGCCTAGAGAACGGAGAGTGGGGCCTTCAGATGATTGAATGGAACGATGAAGGTAGGCACAAAGGGCAAACGTATTTATAAATCTAAGAAACGCTCACGTCGATTAATGTATGAAGGAAAGAAAAAGCATTATGCAGAGACAGAAGAAAGAGGTAATTGTATACTTTTTTCTAAACAAATACAGAATAAATGTGTGTAGTTACATGTATCACCCAGGGGCTTCTACGATGGGTAAATTGCATTTAATTATCAAAATGGATCATCATCAGATTAGTTAATTATGTATGATTTTGACATTCTCATTAATACAAACCTCGCTATCTTTTCAGCTAAATACGCCGAGATGATGGCGCTGAAGAAAATAAACCCCAAACTTAAGGTGTTGTTGGCAGCGGGAGGATGGAACCACGGCACAGCAACATTCAACTCCATGTCCAAGCAGAGGTCTACAAGAGCCCAGTTTCTCAAAAATGTCATCTCCTTTTTGAGAAAGTATAACTTTGATGGTCTCGACTATGACTGGGAATACCCCGGGGATGCTAATAGGGGGAGTGGCCCCGAGACAAAACAACAGTTCTCTGATTTAGTAAAGGTAAGCTAGTTTAGGAACTGATCAAGTCGTGGTGCACAATTTCCATGCATTAACGCTTGCAATTGAGCAATCAACAATATCCAAGATGCTATCTCATTATGGTTTTAATTACATTATATGAATTAACGGCTTTCAAAATGTTCAAATAGAAGTTACAACATGTCATGTCAAGAAGTAGAAATAAGTCAGAATGCCTATTACATCAAGGTATCGCATACAGAATAGTGGAACGAATAAGGCAGAGATAATGGTGTTTTGGTGGAAACTAATTCGACGTCTGTGTTTAAAGCACGTATGGGATTCGATTATGAGATATTGCATGCGGTGCATACAGGAGGATTTATTTAACTGTTTATTAAACTTGATTTATTGAGAATGGAAACAGGCTAAATCAAAAAATTATTTTTACATGGTCTTCGATAGGATAAGCACACCATATTATTACTATTTAGGGAAAATGTTTATGTAATTGTTTATCTGCTTTCAGGAATCGAGGGAGGCATTTGACGCAGAGGCGGCATTAAGTGGATCCGAGCGCTTGTTAGTGACTGCCTCGGTCGGTGTGACTGCAGAGAAGGCAAAGAATGGATACGATATACCTGTCATGAATAAGTAAGACTTTTTTCCACTTTCGTGTCTAAATATACCAAGAAGCTTCCAAGAGATTTCACCGGTAGTTCTCGAATTGAATTATTCTCCCTGTTCGCCTTGATATAATCCAAATTGAACTATTTTAAGTGCATTTACTTTTGCTTGAAATCCAAATTTAAAAGGGCACCGCTTCAACGTGAAAACGAAAGCAAAAAGTTTTAGTTGTCAATACGACCTTATAAATTTATAATTTTAGGTACCTTGACTGGACTAATCTGATGACCTATGACCTCCATGGCGCCTGGGAAAACTTCCTTGGTCACAACTCTCCTCTTTATCCCAGATCGGATGAAACCTACCCCCAGAACCAACTCAACGCTGTAAGATATACATGTATTTTAAATTTTGCAAATAAATAAATGATTATCAAACTAAATGAAAATATAAAAACCTATAGTCATTAAAAAAATAGACAACAAATATAGAAATATGACCGTGGCATCCTTTAGGAATTGATTTGAAATGGTTGTGTACAAAGACCTTTTCACTCAGTAAAATATAATTACACGCGGCTGTTTACAAAATGTAATAATTTACTAATCTTGTGCTTATTTTAGCATGTTTCCGTGGAGTATTGGATCGCTCAAGGGTACGACCCAGCTAACCTCCTCCTGGGAGTGGGTTCATACGGACGCTCCTTCACCATGCAGGACGCCAACAGACATGACTTGGGGGATCCCGCTTCTAGAGCAGGGAGTCCAGGGCCATTTACCAGAGAAAATGGATTTTTGGGTTATTATGAGGTGAGACTCCTTTATGATTTCAAATTACCCATCAACAGGTTCTCTTTCAATTTGGCTCTTAGAGTTTTTTATGAGGTGAGAAAGCTACGCATGATTTTAGATTGCCAGTGAAGCAGTCTTCATTCAAACAAGTTTCTTTAAGGTGTTCTGTTTTATCTACTCAAAGTTTAATTTAAAATGTCCTTTCAAGCATATGTACTAAATCGTAAGGCCTTGGTATTTAAGAAAACCAATACAATATACATACACGGTGTAATATGCCATAATAAAGAAAACTTTGTCACTCATCAAATTTCTAGGTCTGCCAAAATGCTTGGCCGAGTGTATTCAACAGTGAACACAAAGTACCATATGCCTACGACAAAGTCTCTCTACAGTGGGTGGGGTACGATGACATGACAAGTATGAGAATTAAGGTAAGCATCTGTCCTTATTCAATTGAAAAGACTCGTTGTTTATGAACGAATTCCACGTGCAAAATTAAAACGTAAGCTAAAAAACATTAGGGTATTAAAATATATTATCCAATAAGTAATTCTCAAAAAAGCATTTTCCACCATGGCAGCTCTAAACTCAAAATGTGTTTCTCTTGAACAGGCTGATTACGTATGTGCCAACCAGCTGGGTGGAATCCATATGTGGGCCTTAGACATGGACGACTTCTCTGGCCAATTCTGTAAACACGGGATGAACTATCCTCTCCTTAGAACTATAAACGCTGGTCTTCAAGCATGTAGTTCTCAACCTAGTACCCCTGCACCCACTGATGCACCCACCCAGGCACCTACCACTGCACCAACTCAAGCCCCGACTGCTGCGCCAACTCAAAAACCCACCCAGGCACCTACCGCTGCACCAACTCAATCCCCGACTGCTGCACCAACTCAAAAACCCACCCAGGCACCAACCCAGGCACCTACTCAAGCACCTACCGCTGCACCAACTCACAAACCCACCGCTGCACCTACCGCTGCACCAACTCAAGCCCCAACTGCTGCACCAACTCAAGCTCCCACTGCTGCGCCTACCCAACCTCCAACTACAGCAGCAAACGGAGGTCAGTATAACCGTAGAAAGTTCACAGACACAAAAACGCAATACATTCAATCAGTAATTGAATTATCATGAGAAATTTTTGTTTCATAAAAAATTTCATCCGTTTGCTTCTAAGATACTCGATTAGTAATAAATCAATGCTTGGATAGCTTGTTTCTCAAATATGAAAAAATAAGGCTTACGTTACGACTCTGATTTTCCAGAATTCGTTTGCCCAAGTGAAAGCGGATATTTTCCACATCCAAGCAACTGTAGAAAGTTCTATCACTGCGCCATGAATAAAGCATTCAACAAAATCTGTCCGAAAGGCACGTACTACAACCCAAAGACCTACCTCTGCGACTACGAATACAACGTGCCATCTTGTGCCAATGGAAGCCCCATAGTTATAGGTGAGTAGTATACATTCCACTGTGCTTCATTTACGTGCAGAAGATTTCAAGTCTGGGAGTTTATAACTGAGTTTAAATCACTGTATGTTGACCGAAATGTTTAATATAGTATTCTGTTGAATATTATGAAGGTTATAGGAACCACTTATCAACTTTTCTCTTTTTTGAAAATTTTCTTAGAAAGTCATTGGAAAGGCTATTTCAATTTGAACTAGTTTTTCTGCAAATAAGTGAAGTTAATGAACACTTAATTTTAGAATGAATTTTGTGTGACATACCTCAGTCAGTTAAAATCCGTAACTTCAGACTCTGTCTAATATATCACTCTTTTTCCACTTTTAGAACCATTCGTATGCCCCAGTGATGGCATCTTCCCCGACCCTGATGATATTGGATGTTACTACAACTGCGCCAATGGTAACCCATTCCACCTATGTTGTCTGAACGGCCTGGTCTTTGATACCCAAGACCTCATCTGTAGATTTGCCCTCCCAGAAGAACGCGAAATCACATTCCCTTAAATTTCGAAATTGTAATTTGAGAAGAAAATAATGTGTAAAGTCTAAATATCAGTGTATGTGAATTAAGGCCTACGTTATGCCGGTGAAATGATATTGATGAGGAACACGCTTAACAGTTTCTATGGTTATAAGACAGAAATCTTTTAACCAGTTTCGGTTCACTCCCACTTGAACCAAATTATTTGTACTATTTAGTATTTATCAAGTTTTCTCTTTTTGAATCATTGGAGTATTTATATATCATGTAAATGTGAAATAAGTTTTAAGCTTTCAATTTTTCTACAGATTTTTATATTAAAGATAACTAACATATTTTATGATATCATATAAAGATTTAAATGGTTATATAGTTTACAATCAGTAATCTTTGAATAACATACTTTTGATAAATGTTTTTGTATTGATGATCATATTTCACACAATTTTCAATAAAAATATTTGTAAGAAAAACTGACCTACTTTGCTGTTTTCGATATGTAATATTATACAACACACATCTAAAAATGATACTTTCAATTACAAAGCTCAGAACTCAAGGCCTAGAGCAAAATATAGACTGAGTGAGGTGCAGCATTGCTTATACATAAAAACATATTTCGTGGTCATCCAATTTTATCATCATTTCCACAAGTCTACAAACTGTACGCTGGAGAGGGGGGGTTAATGCCCTTTGTACATAATTGAAAATAAAAAGAATGATGACCCAAATTGCTATCAAAGGTCATCGTTTTTAGATTTACATCTCGTACTTTCTGAAGGGGCGGGGGCTGCAGACTTGTGAAAATGGTGATCAAATGTATGACCCCATATGCAAAAGTACACCACATCGGCAAACATTTTTTCATGTACCAATTTATTCTTTCATGGATTAAATTTGTTAACCATAGAACTGCTGTAATCCTGCTGTATAAATATATTCATGAAAAAGGAAGAGTGAAATTTATAAGTAAATTATAGACAAATTTGGGAGCCCACTCTTCATATTGTGTATCATATGAAAGTGGCGTTGCTGAGAAAGACATCATACAGGCAGCATCAGAAATTCAGGAGTTAGCAATTAGGATAGTGTAAGTACTATATTGTCAGTTTTTGGTTGTACCTAACCTATTTATCATTCGATCTAGCACAAAAAAAGATGGGCATATTGCAGTTCAGGCCCGTAACCACGTTCCGAAAGAACCTCCTTTTTGCCGGGAAAAGGTCCCCTTTGGATTTAATTTTATCTAGGTGCACGAAGATTCGTGGTAAAAGGTCTACTTTTTCAGTAAAAGAACCCCCCTTTTGAAATTGCTGGCTATGGGCCTGCAGTTTCAATATAAAAAAGTAATTTATCATGAATATGTGAGTACTGTAAAAGATACGCAACTGATATATCATATTTGGCATGCGTGAGTTTAATTAAGCAGGATCCACTACAAAAGATCTTCAGAATACATGTATGAGATCTGGAAAGTACGTGCCGACATAATGCTCAGACAAAATATCTAGAAAACACGTTAATATATATATAATGTTTATCCATGGGTGGAATGGAACAACTTGGTCATTCTTAATAGGGTAATACATGTATATCGAAACCATGGTGTTACTCCCGATTAATGATTCCTTGTCAGTAATCAACTTACTGCATTTTCCATGCGGTCATATTACGAAACGCACTGATGGTAATGCAGACAACGAACAAGTCTTATTCATTTATTTGTCTATTTCATTGTTGTTGTTTTCTATTTTATTCATGGCACTTTATGATCGCTTTCCATGCCAATTGCCCAATAACAGGCTAGAGCAATAGGTAGGGTTAAATAGCGCCAATAAAAAGTTTGAAGAGTTGCGGCTTGCCTGAAAAAACACAGATGTGGTTACTGTATGTGATAACCGCATGTTCTTATTGATTACTATCTATGATCATTGTTATTAATCATCATATTGTTTGTTTCGTCTATGAAAACAGTTATACTAATATGAAGTAGTAAAATGGGGCTCCTGCGATTATTACTCTTATGTCATATTCCAGATAGCGGAAATAAAATCTGCAGTAAGCAATTCAGTATGGGTGTCAATTAAGGCGATGATTAGATTTCAGTAACAGGCCCGTAGCAAACAATTGCAAAAAGGGGGTTCTTTTTCTGAAAAAGTGGACCTTTTACAATGAAACCTTTGTGTACTTAGATTAAATTTTACAAGGAATGGACCTTTTCCTGACAAAAAGGGTGGTTCTTTCGAACCCCCCGAACCCCCCTGGTTACGGGCCTGAGTAACATTTGTGTAACAAAAAATAATGAAAATTAACTGAACATGTTCAATCACATTTGAGATACTCTAACCAAAAAAAAAAAAAAAAAAAATAATAATAATAAAATAAATTTCTAACAAAAATATCCTCACAACAGGTCAAGAAGAGGTACGTGTACCGAAATGGGACAAACCTTTATCTACATGTCCCTATATGATTAATATAATAATATCTCAATATCAAGCCCAATCAAGCTGATTAACTGGTCATAAAGCCGTAAATATTCTTACTCACTTCACCAACTTCCTCATAATAAAACAACAAGTCCTTAAATGATTAATATAATAGAATCTCAATATGAACCTTACTCAAACTGATTAACTGGCCATATAGCCGCTAACACCCCACCTCACGGCACCAACTTCCTCATAATAAAAGTTTGATTGTCATACCTGGAAGATTGAGATAACGAGCCCTTTACGGGAGTGATTCAATCGCATCAAGGGGCCAAAGTTAATTGTGCTCGTTTTATATTAGACAATTTAAACGTTGCCTTAAATACCCAACACGCATATATGACACTTCTAAATTAGATCTTTGAAGTTCCACAGTATTTTTTAAAGATCGGATAAACTTAGCAAAATGTACAATATTCGGCATTACTTTAATTTCAAAACCTAGTTAATTTGCAAACAGAGGTGAGTGGAAATGGATTGAGATGTTTATCAATCCATGACTGGTAAATGGTCTATCATTAAGTGTGTCACGCTACTGATGACGTTGTTCAGACCTCTATGAGTGCAGGCTATTTGACCATGTGCAGTGGATGACGATTTAGCTATTTATAGACCCTTGTCCAGCCCTGACTTGTGCATATATAAAGGATCAAGACCCTGGTGCTTCAACAAATCTCACTGAACATCACGAGCTGACTGCAGAACCAAAGAAAAATTTGTAAAACCTCTCTGAATCCCAAAGTTCAATACAGAAGAGCAACAAAATGGTATGTAAAAATGCAGAAACCTTCGAACTTTTACATTGTTGAATGCTTTTCTCGTCGAAAATAATTTTACATTTTTTCTCCTAATTTGTTTCAAATACCATTTTAAATTTAAGATGATACTTCACTGTCCTTGTTTCTCTTCCAGATAAGTCAACTTATTTTTGCATTCGCCATCATCATTCCATCCACATGTAAGTACCTTAAAATATGCTAAAACGATAAAAGGTTATTTGATCATACAATGCTTGCGTGTGTAGTACTTTATTCAATACTTGTGGTCTTAAGTAAACAAATATAGATAATAGATATTCAGTACATTGAGTGAGTTCACCTAACCCGTGCATAGTCCTGCTATATATTTTTGATCTTGTCTCAGAGAGTGTACGAAAAAAAATTAACGAATTGTTTTACGTATATAAACGTATAATTATCAATTTTATTTCTTCTTATTTTGCAGTAAACATAATTTCATTCACTATCATTTTCAGATGCCTTCAGAATAGCCTGTTGGTACACAAACTGGTCACAGTATAGACCAGGGGCTGGAAAATTCTTCCCAGGAAACATAGATCCTAACTTATGCACACACATCTACTATGCCTTTGCTAACGTGGGCCTAGAGAACGGAGAGTGGGGCCTTCAGATGATTGAATGGAACGATGAAGGTAGGCACAAAGGGCAAACGTAATTATAAATATAAATATGGGAAGGAAAGAAAAAACAGTAAGCAGCGATCGAACAAAGAGAGTAACTTTCTTTCTAAATGAATTCAGAGTAAACGTTTATAGTTGCATGTAGCACTCAGGGAGTTCTACGATGGAAAAATTATATTTCATTATCATAATGGATCATTATCAGATGGGTAAATCAGATCTGGTTCTGACATCCCCATTAATGCAAAACTGACCTATCCTTACAGCTAAATACGCCGAGATGATGGCGCTGAAGAAAATAAACCCCAAACTCAAGGTATTGTTGGCAGCGGGAGGATGGAACCACGGCACAGAAACATTCAACATTATGTCCAAGCAGAGGTCAACAAGAGCGCAGTTTCTCAAAAATGTCATCTCTTTCTTGCGAAAGTATAACTTCGACGGTCTCGACTATGACTGGGAATACCCCGGAGATGCAGATAGGGGGAGTGGCCCCGAGACAAAACAACAGTTTTCTGATTTGGTGAAGGTAAGCGAGATTAAGAACTGATCGAGGCGTGACAAATTTGTTAACACTTGCTTTGAATAATTTTCCATGAGGCACGACACTTAATACTATATCTTATTATAACTTTAGCCTTAAAACTGACAATTATCCAAATGATTTGACGTACATATGTAAGTCAATGAGGGACAATGCTTCCGATGAATGCCCGTCACGAGGTAAACATAGTATGTAGAATGCTTATCATGCCAGTGCAATACCGTGTTTTGCATACAGTTCATATATCCTGTAGGGAGATAGGACTACGTGACGAGTTAACAGTATTTGATTTAGGGAAAATGTTCATGCAATTGTATATTTGATTTCAGGAGTCGAGAGAGGCATTTGCCGCAGAGGCAGCATTTAGTGGATCCGAGCGCTTGTTAGTGACTGCGTCAGTGGGTGTGACTGCAGAGAAAGCAAAGAATGGATACGATATTCCTGTCATGAATAAGTAAGAGTATTTCTACTTTGACGTCTAAATATTCAAAAAGATATTGCTGGACGACACCAGTTTCTCCTTGCCTTATTTATCTTGTTATCATCGGCATCGTGCTATTTGAAGTGCAGTTTTTTCAATGAAATTTGAATTTTCGTAGTTAATGTGTAACACTTGCATTTGTAAAACAGGAAAAAATGATCAAAGTGAAAACGAAAGTAATCATTTTTTTAGGTACCTTGACTGGACTAATCTGATGACCTATGACCTCCATGGCGGCTGGGAAAACTTTCTTGGTCACAACTCTCCTCTGTATCCCAGATCGGATGAAACCTACCCCCAAAACCAACTCAACGCTGTAAGATATAGTTCAAAATATACATACATATGCACTAGTATAGGCCCTACTGTATACACTGTATATATATTTTTGCAAAAAAAAAA